TCTACAGATAAATAAATTAAATAGTTTTTTACAATAAAAAATATTAGTAAATAATAAATAGTAGAAATAACAGTAAAATAATAATAAAGAATAATATTCAAACAAAAATACTAAGTAATTAAATAAAGTAAAAAGTATGAAATATATAAATAAATAACTAAAAAAATATGTAAAATAACTTAACTAACCGAGGAAATTCAAATGTAAATAAACATTTAAAGTACTTGGAACGATACGTTAAAAGAAAAATTTAAAACTATAAACAATCTTTAAACCTTAAGAAGACTTTAAAATTTCAAAAAAAAATCCTATGTATTTTTGTAGTAAATAAACAATTGATAAATACAAGAAAGATAAAAAAGGAAAGAAAAAAAAGAAGGGAAGTATATGTAGACATACGTGGAAGATAACTGGAAGTTGCAGAATTAAAACAGGAACAGACCATGGTTAACAGATAGGAAAGGTAACCGGTAGAAGGGAGAAGTAAAAGAAGAACTCTACCAAATCTCAGGACATGAGGCACCTGGTTCGAAGGAGGAGAGAGGAGGACACAGGAGACTGTCGAAGAATAACTATGATAAATTTTTTTTAATAAACATTTTATTAATTCATGTTGTACATGTTGTAGTCCTTCATTTATAACGTCCATTCCTTCTTCTGGTGGAGTCTTTCTCTTACTTTCCCTTCTACCGGCTCCCTTTCCTATCGGTCAACCATGGTCTGTTCCTGTTTTAATTCTGCAACTTCCAGTTATCTTCCACGGATGTCTACAAATACTTCCCTTCTTTTTTTTCTTTCCTTTCTTATCTTTCTTGTATTTATCAATTGTTTATTTACTACAAAAATACAGAGGATTTTTTTCTGAAATTTTAAAGTCTTTTTAACTTTTAAAGATTGTTTATAGTTTTAAATTTTTCTTTAAAAGTATCTTTTCAAAGTATTTTAAATGTTTATTTACATTTGAATTTCCTCGGTTAGTTAAGTTATTTTACTTTTTTTAAATTATTTATTTAAATTAAGGGACTAATAGTAAAAGTGGGTTATAATTTGAATTTGAGTAAAAATGGGTTTTAAGCCTTGCAAGAAAAAAGAGTTAAAATATTTTGATTAATTTATCTATTTAGGAGACTATTTATTTATTGATGACTTTTCTTTTACAATTATTATTTAAATAAATTTTCAAATCATGAAATTACTATAAAAAGTATAAGTTTTTCTAAAGCATAGATTAATTAATTAAAATATTTTAACCCATTTTTGCTCGCAATATTTTTGTCCCACTTTTGATCGCACTCAAATTTTAACCCGCTTTTGCCATCAGCCACTTAATTATCAAATGACATTTGGAGTTTTTTAAATGAAGCGGACAACCCCCTCCTGTATTTTTAAAATTATTATTTTATTAAAAACCCATCAAACGAAGAAAAATAGGTGAATACTTTATATTAAATTTAATATAAAGTACAAACCTATTTTCTATTGTTTAATTGATTTTTAATATATTAATAATATTTAAAACAACAATATTTTTAAAAAAACCAATTCAAGGTTGTCAGCTTTAAGTAAAATATCTCATTTTTAAAAAAATTTATATTTTTGAGGAAATTGAAATGTTATTATTTAAAGTACTTTGATTGGATACTTTAAAAAAAATGTGAAACTGTAACTGGCACATGGCTATCAGCCCCGAGTTAATTATGAAAAAATTTATGTAAGCAATACCAAAAATAAAGTTAATAAAATTAATTTTATTAACTTTATTTATTTTATTGATAACATAAAATTTTTCAAAATTAACTCGGGGCTGATAGCCATGTGCCAGTTACAGTTTCATAAAAAAAATTTAAAACCACAATCTTTAAATTTTAGACTTTAATATTTCACAAAAAAATCCTTTGTATTTTTCTAGTAAATAATTGATAAATACTAGAAAGTTAACAAAGGAAAGAAAAAGAAGGGAAATATTTAGACATGCATGGAATTTAACTGGAAGTTAACAGATTAAGTATGGAACTTCACCTGGTTAACTTCCTGGAAAGGGAGGTGGTATCAGGGTTACGTAAAAGAGAAAAACTCACCAAAATTCAGGACATCTTCTTCGGCACGTGGCTCATGGCGGACTAAATGGCTGCAGCGTCGAAAAGTGTCGATGGAAGTGGTGGGGCGCTCTTTCCGCTATGAATGCTGGGCGTTGATTGGTTGGAAATAAGTCCACCTGATTGGAAGTGGCGCGCGACGCTGGTGGTGGTGAAACACAGAACTTTAAACGCTGATTAGTTGATAATTTTAGTCTAGTGGGAATGCCGCGGGATCCATTTAAATTTGAATTCTTCGATGACCAAAATACCATTTCTTATTAATAATTTATAGTGCATTTCTTTCCGATGTCCATTTAGAATTATTTTCAACATTTCCTGATGTTGTTTTTGACCTCTTCTTTTTTTGGAATTGTCTGAAAATTCAATAACTAATATAAGAATTATTATTTTCCACATCAACAATGATGATTATTATTAACAATAATATAAATAATTACAGTAAATTCACAGTATGTTTAGTATAATTTATGGGAAATGATTTTTAGGTTAAATAATATATTACAATTAAATATAAAACTGTCTGTAAAATCGCATAACACTAAAAAAGAGCAAAATTATTAAATTTTTTTAAAAATATGCATAAAGAGATAAAGTGAAATGAAATACCTAATTATTATAAGGGGCCATTTATAAATTACATCACACATTTTTTTAAAACTTTTTTTATGGTTTTTATTGGGTTAAAAAAACAATAATGAAATAAATAAACAATTAAACTTTTATGATTTGTAAACTATTTTGTAATTAATAATATTCATATTAAAAATATTACTTTAATAAATAATGTAAAAATATATTACATATAATTAAATTTTATTTAAATTATCTAATGACATGTAGGGCATTCTAAATGAAACGGAAAACCCCCTCTTGCTTTTTTAAAATTTATTATTACTTTGAAATATTATTATTTTATTAAAAATCTATCAAGCAAAGGAAAATAGATGAATATTTTTTATTCAATTTTATACAAAGTCCGCACATATTTTCTTTTGTTTGATAGATATTTGTTAAATTAATAATATTTAAAAAAAAAGACAAGAATCGAGGTTATCTACTTCAAGTAGAATATCCCATTTTAAAAAAATTTATAGTTTAATTTTCGGGGAAATTCTCATGTAATTATTTACAGTACTTTGATTAGATATTTTTTGAAAAAAATTATGAAACTGTAAGTGGCACTTATTTATCATCCCCGAGTTAAATGAGCCAAAAGTTCTGAAATATTTTTTTCAATCTATAAATTTTTAAAAATTATGATGGCGATGTAAAAGAAAAAAGTAAATTAAACAATTATTAAATTATTAACTTCATTTCAAATATTTCAAACAATATTTTGTAATGAAATTCGTACTTAAAGAAGTTGCAAATAAATTTCGTTCATTTTAACGTTCAAAAATTTTGGCTCATCGAGTTAATTTTGAAAAAATTTATGTTAGCATTAACATAAATAAAGTTAATAAAATTAACTCTATTAACTTTACTTTCTGTTATTAATTTATTAATAGAGTTAATTTTATTAATCTCTTTCCGCTGTAAATGCCGGGCATTGATTGATTGAAAATAAATCCTCTGTATTGGAAGTGGCGTTCTTTTGATCCTACAAAAAAATTTCTAAATGTTTTTTTCTTTAAAAATGTTGAAATTTTTAAAAAAAATTTATTAAATTTTAATTAATTTATTTAAAAAATAAAAATTAATTTTACCTTTTAAACATGTTCTTTCTGTTTTTCAACCCTGAAAAAAAGTCATGAATGAAGTTGATAATGTAATGAAGACTTCCTGAAATTTTCAGCTTGGCGTTATGTTTTGTTTTCGATATAAAAAAACTCTGTTAAGTTCCATGAATCGGTAAATGTCGCCCGATTTTTCTTTTTGGTGTGAACTTCCTGGAAGTAATTAATATAAATTTACTGGAAAATTGCAAAGGATAGTTTGTAAAATATTTTTTATACATTTCTTTAAATACACTGTAAAAATAAAGTCTTATTTTAAGGCCGAAAAGAGGTCTTATTTTAAGAGGCAACATTTTTAAGGTAGCTTTGCTGAATTTACGCAATGCAATTTCGATTAGAGCTATTAGCGCTGATTTTAAGACTCATCTGAAAATAAGATCTTCTTTTTACAGTGTATATTCCGAACTCACCGTTAAGTCCAAGTCCACGTACAGCATCATTCTTCTAAATTCAGTAATTCAAAAAATAGAAATGATATGACAATCATAAAACATGTATATCACTTTTGTATATTTAAACATTGGAATATTTGTTGCATCCTGCTTATACACATGAGACCTTGACTCTCATGGAAAAATTACCCAGCAGTCTATGATGAATACTGAATTAGTACATAAAAAGTCTTGTTACTAAAAATTCTAAATCAGTAAATTTTAAGGGGGTACTTGCAGTTGTAACATAATAATTTAGTCTTTAATCGAAGCTTAGAAATTTTATGAAATTTTTCTTAGCAGCATAATAATTTATACGACCGTAAGGTACAATTACACATGGAAGGAATTCAAAAAATGTTTTGATTAAATTTTTTAAGCATTGTTAATTGAAATTATTTTCTTAACGGGAGTTCTACTGTCTGATTTATTCTATATTAGTTTGTTTCAATTAATAAATAAAATTGTTGTGTAAAATATTTTTTAACTTCATTAAGTAACTGATTATTTTTCTAAAGTAAATCAAATAATTAATTGTAATAGAGAATTGTTTTTATTAGTTTTTTTCCTATTATTAATATATGTAATGTGAAAAGGAAAAGATTTGTTAGTTTTAATTTTCTCGAAAAGATAAGGTAATCAATGGAGGAAAATTAAGTCTTTTTGTAAACATTTGATAAAAAGGTATAAGGTAAAAGTGCAATGAATTTTCTTTATATAAAAAGCCAAGACATTTGCTTGGTTTCATATCATATACACCTTTCTTCAGTTTATTTCTAAAATACTGTAAGTATATTATATTTTAATAAAGTATTATTTGCAATTTTGTTTATTAATATTATAGGGTTAAAAATTTACTATTAACTTAATAATATTATAATTAAAATATTAATTTATAGACTAATTAAAATAAAGCTTTATATACTATCGTTATTTTTGGTATTCTATTAAAAAATAAATAAAATGTTTAATGCTACATATGTACATATTTCAATTTTTTTACTGCTATTAGAAAAACTACAAATAAAAAATGGCCAGTATCAAAATGTTGTTTGTCCTCTTGGCAACAGTTTTAATGTTTGTTGCTCCTGCTATCAATGCTTGTGAAGGAGATGGAACTCCATGCCAACCTGATGGAAGTACAGATTGTTGCTCAGGATTTTGTTATAAACAAGTAGGATGGGGAATTGGATATTGCAAAGCTCGCTAAGTATAAAAAAACCAAATTTTGTTACAATTTTCACTTTAAAAAACTATTTTTTAATCTTGATGTAATTATTGAAATTCGTAACACGACATTGGTTTTTGGACAATAATAATATACGTAAAGAAAGCTATGTAGTCCTTTAAATTAATAAAAATTTTCAAAATTCATGAAACAAATTTTTTTCTATCTATAAATATTGATCAGTCCCTGATGAAATGTTCAGATGTATGTGTGTGTTCTAGATCCCGTTTTTTTTTTGTTTTTGCTTATTTATCACATGAATAAAATTTCATTAGACTGTATTTTTTTAGCTATATTTAAATGGCTATTATGTTATAGGAAAATGCAAACAAATAAAGATTCAGCGTAAAGAAAATTCAATCTATACTGAAAAAAATGTTGCCGAGAAATTTAACTACCATTGGGTAGTTGACTAGAAAGTAGTTAAAATAACTACTTTTTTAGTTAATCTAATCATGTTCATGTAGTTAATGTAACTATTTTTAAGAAATTAATAAGTAATACAGACGACTCTCGATAATTAAACTCTCGATAATTTGAATCTCTCAGTAAATTGAAGTGTTCTTCTGGTCCCTTCAAAAACTTTTGATAAATTGAAAAAAAACCCATTGTTTTGGGTCCCTTGATAATTAAAAGTTTTTTGACGGCAACTTGTCTCTTTTCCCTCTATAAATTGAATTCCACTGAACGAAACTCTCTATAATTTGAATTATTTCCATAAATAAAAATGTCACTATAAATTGAATTTAATCAAACCTAACTCTCTATAATTTGAATTTTCCTTTACAGATAAAAATGTAAAGTTTTGTTTCTCTTTCAAATAAAAGTTATCCCTAAAGTCACAAAATTTCACAACATTTAGCATTGTAAACAATGTTTCTTCAATCAAAATAGTGATTAATTCGTTTTTACTCATTCGTAATTACATATCGACTGTTAAATTCAGTTTGCAACTGGTGTCGTTTCTAGTAGGAATTTAAAATGTCGACTCCAAGATCGCACAAATGTTTAACTTTTTCTCTTTACTTGTCTCAATAGAAAATGCACTTGACCATGCACATTGGAGTGCATTGAAACAAAAAAAAACAACTGATTTCTTTGTACACCATGCAAAATAAATATATTATTAGTCAATTTCTTGTTAATTTGAATTTTACCTGTCTTCTCCCTCGACAATTAAAACTTTCGATAAATAAAACTCTCAATAATTTGAACTTTTTTTTAATCCCCTTGAGATTCAATTTATCGAGAGTCGACTGTAGTTGATTTTACGTAAATATGTAGTTAAAGTACAACTACACTCTTTAAATCCTGAATTAGTCATTTTTGACTAATTCACAGTCATTTTTGACTAATTCAAATAGGGCGGATTCGTTTACTGTGAATTAGTCAAAAGTTACTAATTCAATCTATAACTAATCTACCACTAAATGAATTAGAAGTTTCAGTTTCTAGATAGGTATACATAGGTAGATAAAGTAGGTAATGTAGACGTATTTATTTTGAAAATAGACAAAAATTATTGCTTAAAAAATAGGAAACGATTATATTTTGTTTTTATATAGTTTAAATAACGTGAATCAATAAAAAAAATCTATTTATTTCATTTTCGAAATTATTCTGCGATAATTACTGGTGGTGAGCCTTGACGCGCTCAACCAAAGGAGGTTATGAAAATTCGTTACAAAATGTCTCTTATAAGCAAATTGATATAAACTCGTTGTCAAATCGCTAATAAATAAGGTAAAGTCGATTTGTTTTCTATACAAATTTAACTATTATATAAATTTGTAATTAGAGTCTTATAAATGTGCCAATATTGATTTAAATTTGTTAATTAAATTAATTAACATTAACATAACAACAATAGTTTGGAGTGTTTTTTGGCCATCTATACAAACATTTGAAGAACTGAGTTTAAACACATTCAATTTGATCAAAATATCAATATCATCATTATTAATATTATATTACTAAATTAATTATATGTCAATTTTGATAAACATAACCTACAAAACCTAACTGTTATGTCTCGACATAAAGAAAAATAAATATTTTTTTCATAATTACTTAATAGAAAATAATTACTTGTGCATTTGTTAAATTGATTTTTCTTTGGTTGGAACAGAAAAATGTTGTATAATAAATTAAAAAATTTTCAATTAAGCTATTTTTGCTTATTTTGATGTATGCATATATCATGATTAACAAATTAGAAGAAAATCTCTACAATTCATTTAGTCATTAAAAGTAACTATTTTTTTAGTAGAAAAAGCACTACTAATTAATTCAGTAATGAAAAGTGACTATTTTTTTAGTAGAAAGTGATGAAACTACTAATTCATTAGTAAAATATGGTGTTACTTATTCAATTAGTAAAATTTTGACTAATTCACATTTAGAGAGCAGGTCGGTAGTAAAATTAACTTTCTTAAGGTAGTAAAAACAAGTAGAATTGTAGTCAACTCAAAATTTGAAGAGTAGTAAATCCAACTACCATTCACCGCAGTTATATGAAATGTAGTAAAAGGAATTATTTTCTTTAATTAATATAACTGCTTTTTGAGTAGTCAATTTTTTATTAATTTCTATGATTTTATAGGATTCAATAAAATTCTTGTTGTAGAATTAACAAGTCGTCTGTAATTAAAACTACTACTTTAAGTAGTAGATTTTTACTATTTTAATTAATTCGAAAAACTTAAAGAAGATTTTTGATGTAGAATTTAGAAATTGTTTCCAGTTAAAACTTTTACTTTAAGTAGTAGATTTTACTACTCAAAGTGGTACAATAGGCTTTAAGAACATTTTTGTTGTAGACTTAACAAATACTTTGTGATTAAAACTACTACTTTAAGTAGTAGTTTTTTACTATTTTAATTAATTCAATAAGCTTGAAAAACGTTTTTGATGTAAAATTTACAAATCGTTTCCAATTAAAACTACTACTTTCAGTAATAGCTTTTACTACTTAAAGTGGTTCAATAGGCTTTAAGAAAATTTATGTCGTAGAATTAAAAAATCCTTTGCAATTAAAACTATCACATTAAGTAGTAGATTTTACTGCACTATGCAATTAAACAACTTATAATATAATTAAAAGATGAAAAATTTACAAGTCAAAACTTAAAAAGAATAGTTATAGCAAATAATAAAAGTAGTAAAAATGACTACTTTAAATAGTTAAATTACCAATTGGACAAGCATAAAGTAGTCTTCGGGTAGTTTGCAGACTGTCGTAGCGAGCGTGCGTGGTTAGTCGGTTAAGGTATCAGATTCCGAGCGTTAGGGTCGAGGGTTCAATTCCCGTCGGTTAGAAATTTTCTCTGTTAGGTACATAATCGTTAGGGCATAAAATAAGCGTCAGTATAGGAGAGAAGATGAAAAAGTCAATTCTACTGATAATAAACAATTATAAATAAAAAATAATTTTACTTTCCTATTTTAAATAGTAAAATCAACTACTTAAAGTAGTAGTTTTAATTGCAAAAGATTTATTAATTCTACAGAAAAATGTTCTTAAAGCCTATTGAATCACTTTCAGTAGTAAAGTTTTCTACTTAAAGTAGTAGTTTCAATTGCAAAATATTTATTAAATGTACCAAAAAAATGTTCTTAAAGCCTATTGAACCACTTTAAGTAGTAAAATCTACTACTTACATCTTGAGTTGTTTTAACATTTTTAAATTGAGTTAATACAATCACAAAATGTCATTCTACCAATTACATTTTTCATTAGTTTAACTATTTTTATATAGTTAATAGATCCGTTTACATTCAGTTGAGGACCTATTGTACTACTCAGAGTAGTTAAAAAGTAATAAAACCTACTAGTTTTATTTCAGTGTAATGAAATTCTATCAAATAAAAAATTCTAACAAATTAATTTTAGGCATTTTTTAAATGTCTCAAATTGATGCAAAATTATTTAGAGATGAATAATGACGTATTGTTTTTTTTTTAAATTTTTTTTATGAAAGTATTACTGGATGGAATATTTAATAGGTGATATTTTCATATATTACCATAATGTCTAACTAAGTCACCTATATAATCGATTCCGTTTATGACAGACTGGCAAATTATTATTATCGTATCGGTCAGTGATTACACTTCCTGTACACGTATAAATTCATATGTATTATGTATATATCCACATTTATATATATATATATATATATATATATATATATATATATATATATATATATATATATATATATATATATATAAGAGCAAACATGAATAGTAATGATCTTTTGAGCAAGCTGTCAATTTGAATGATATTTAGAGGATATTATTCGCCATTATTCACAGATTATGGTCTTATGATCAGAAAGTCTCTAAATAATAATTTCACATTTTTCTTCATTTATTTTAATCATACAACACTTTTTTGTGGTCAAAATGAAAAAATAAAATTCTCTTTTTTTTAATTAGAAAAACATGTTGGTTTTAACTTGTTTAATTACCAACAGTTTTCATTTTGTGCATTCCACATTTGCCTTTGGTACAAACAACAACTAGATCTCTTGTGATTAAATTCCTCTGGGAGAAAACTCTGGTTTACAAAAAAGAAAGAAAATGAAATAAAATTAGTTAGAGTTAAAGTCGATTACTTGAGGTCTCAAGAGAAACAAGTTTCGTAAAAAAAAAAAAATTTCGGTCTTTGTAAGGGAAAAAAAAATATTTTTCTTTTTTATTTTCAATAACCTGTCAACGACTCTGGATTAATTAATAAATAATTAATACTAACAACTCAACTGTTTTTAATTTTCATTTATAATTTCATATTTCTGAATTTCAATTTCAATAATTTTTAATTAGTGGAAGTGAAAGTGAAAAGTAGAAATAATTGCAGTAACAGTGAAAATGAGAATTAGTGGATATAACATTTTTAAGAATATTTTATATAATATATTGGAACAAATCCATTCGGTAAATATAGCCACTGACTCTAACTGGGACACTTTTTATCCTATTGTCGCGTGCTACATGTGGCAAAAGTAATTTTATTAGCAAAAATAAAATAAATAAAATTTCACAAGAAATTGAAAAAGTTTACGCAATAGATTGGGCTCTTAAAGAAAAGTTTAAATCCTTTGGCACGGTTATAAGGATTTAATTTAAAGAAAAATTTTAAATAACGCGCTGTAAAAACTCTGCTTTGCAAAAAATGTTTTTAAAAGTGGCAAACTTTTTTTTATAACAAGCACCAACTTTTCTTTTTTTGTATGTATGAAAAAATTATGCAAAATTATTCCATATACGCCGTAATTTATTATACAAAGATATATTATAAAAAAATATTTTCTCATACATGACAAAATTATTTTATATTTGTTTTTAAAATTTTACTCTATGAATCAATAATAATCTTTCCTAATCTATTTTTCAATTTAAATTACAATTAATTAATTAAAAGTTATTAAAAATAGATTTCAATTTTATATAGAAAGTTAAAAAAATTCGATCCTTGGAAAGAATAAAAAAACATAGAGATTTATGTTATTAAATTCTTGTTTATTTTGTCACAAAACAAAAAACGACGTTTCGATTACTTGGTTCGTCATCATCTTCAAATTAACCCTTAACTGGCACAATGGGTACAGTAGACCCGAGCAGTTTTTCGAATTCAAATTAATTGAATATATAGCTTATGAATATTTATTTATATTTTAAAGTATTAGTTTAACATAATCTTAGTAATTTTCTAAGTTTTTTGATACAACTAATTCGATACAAAAGAATAAATTAGCTTCAAACATTAATAATTATAAATTTTTAATTTTAACCTAAAAAGTCACATTTTATTCTACAAAATAAATACTGCTGTTTTGGTAATATTTTCTTTAAAGAATAATACATCAAGAGTATGAACTTAAATATTTAAGTCCTAATATTAAAATTTAAATAACTCATGAATTTTTAAGTATAAAAACACTCAATTTTTGTTTTTATTTTTTACAAATTTTTTTTTTACTAACTTAAAATAAATTAATCCCTGTAAAACTAATTATATTTTTAAAAACATCATAAGCTATCTCAGATTAAATTTTTGGGCAAAACTGTTCAATGCCAGCTGTACAATGCACATTTGAATACGTCGGGTCCAGCAGACCCGTTGTGCCATTTATGTTCGAATTGTGACAGTTAAGGGTTATATGTATATCTAATGAACATTAATAATTTTATTTTAAATTTCCATGTTCTCTTTTTTAAACAAATAATAAATTAGGGTCAGTTGGGGTAAATGGGGACAAGAGGTTTTGGAGTTTAATTTACAGTTTTAAAATGAAGTTCAACGTCAATATTTTAACCTCAGATCACCTTCAAGAGGTTTTGAGTATTGCCAAGCTTTTATCTTGACAATTGTCAGCAAAATAATATTTACAACTTGTTTATTTAAAATTTTTTTATCTTTTCTCTCATTTAGGGTAAATGTACTAATTACGGCGCGATTCGAGTCAAAATATCTTTGAAATAGAAAATTCGACATTTCTATTGTATAAAGTAAATTCAAAACTTATTAAACTAAAACTTTATGTTATTTAAATATTAAAAAATAATTTTAACTTCATAAAAATCGATTATTTAAACAAATATGAGAATTTAAAACTAATACCGTAATTTTCTATTACGACGAGTTTGTATCAGTTTCGGTGACCAAAATTACGTGTATTTTAAAGATATTTTGCCCACCGTAATTGAAGCCAATGGAAATCTTAAAAATGTTTCAATTACGGCGAGAAAAAAAATTTGATCTTAAATAATTAAATTAATAATAATTGTTTAAATGTGCATCTTTATCAGTAATTGTATTAAAAAAAAAGATTAAAATAATTTTTTTGAATCATTTTGCAACAGTTATATTAAATATAATAGTAATAATAGTTGTTTCTTATGAACGCGCCGTAATTGGTAAACTTACCCTGAATATACATACATTAAATTTTAATAACAAAATTTTTTTTTTTTTATTTTTAGATGTTTTTGGCCGAGAAGTCACAGGTTGAAGTGCATCATTTATTTTTTTAAAATATAGATCACTCGCTATTGCCTGAACTAGGATTTTAGTTAACAGGCCAAAAAAAAACAAAATGGCGGCCTTTTTAATCCTTTTTTTACAACTTAAATTGTTGTAAATATTGATGAAAAATTAAAATCCTAGTTCAAGCGAAAACCACTTATATTGCTGTACCGAATTTATTTCTAAATCGTTTCTCATAACTTTGTACATATTAATAATTGTGACGCTCGGCTACAAAAGGTACCTAAGTTTCTACAATTTTTAGGTTATATTTTTGATTTTTTAAGTGAAAATACATAGAGAAGGTCAACTCTTTATACAAATTATTAATGTTTAAGTTTTTATTACATCTAAAATATTCAATAAAATTTATTTTTGATTTTGTCTAATTAAAATAGAACTTTTTATTGAGGTAAAACTATCACTAAATATAACCTAACAATTAAGGGAGCTTAGGCACCTTTTATAGCGGAGCGTCAGGTATATAATACAAATGTTTTTGGGCTCGCTGATTACGAATCTGACATCATATTTTATAAATTCAAATTGAATTTTCAAAGATTTAAAATTGAGATTTTTGAAATTAATTGAAACTTTAAGTGATTTTTAATTAAAATTTTAGACGATTTCACTAAAAATTTATTAGAAAATGCGGAAAAAATACAATAATTTGAAAATTATTTTTAATTGAAAAATAGATTCAGATAGTTGAATTTTCAAAAAATATTATTAAAATGGAAATAATTGAATTTCCTTAGAGTTGTAATTGAAATTTTTAAATTTCAGAAAAAATTTTTCGATGGATTTTAGAAATAATTAAATTTTAGATGCTTTTAAATTCAAATTATTGAAAATTCAATTAATTTTGAATTCAAATTTTTGAGAATAATGAAATTTTATTTGATTTTAAATTTGGAAAATAATTGAATTTCAGTTCATTTTGAATTGAAAATTTTGGGAAATAATTGAATTTTAATTGAAATTTTAGATAATAATTTAATTTAAATTCATTTTTGATTGAAAATTTGGATAATTAATTTTGAATAGAAATTTTAGAAAATAATTGAAATTTATTTCATTTTAAATTGAAAACTTGGTAAATAATTAAATTTTAAATTGAAAATTGTGGATAATTATTGGATATTTAATTGATTTTAAATTAAAATTTCGGGTTATACCTAATTGAATTTTAGTTTATTTGGAATTGAAATTTTTAAAAAATAATTCAATTTTATTGTGATATTTTTTTTTTAAATTATAAACAATTGTTAAATTTCATAAAAATTTTAATTGAAAAATAATTTTGATATAATTGAATTTGTGATGTATTTCATTAAAATTATTAAAAATAATTAATTTAGTGAAGAATCATTTTAGTTCAAAATTTGTTAAATAATTGAATTGAAGAAAACCTGAAGAAGATCTACATTTTATACTAAAAAATGTATTTTATTTATATATTTTTTTTCAAATTCAAAAAAAAAATGTCGCATTTTATTAAAATAAGTCGATAAAAGTCGTATTTTTGAAAAAAATTGGAAAAAGTCGTATAATCCGAGGCCTGTAAAACATATAATTTTCATTATTATCATTTAATATGTAATAATATTCTAATAAATTAAATTATTATTGATAATATTAATCTTTAATTTCTTTATAACAAACAATTAAATACCCAATTTGGCGCGCGTTTAATTTTGCTAGTATAATATATAATAATTTTAGATATAGCGGTCCCACAGACCGCCAAAGCACTTTAACCCTTTCAGTCCCATAATTAGGACACTTGATAAATAGCTACAAGAGATACTAAACCTATGGTTTTCAGTGTCGCTGATTACAAATCTAAGGTCCGTTTTTAAAAATTCAAAATGGCGGATCCAATATGTCGGACGACAATTTTAAAAATCAATCCATTTTACTTGAAAATCGTTATTCATGGGTTTTTGGGATCGTTGATTACGAATCTGGAATGAGTTTTAACAAAATTTTAAATGGCGACCGAATTTTTTGAAAAAATAATTCGATTGCCTTAAAAATTGTCACTCGCGGGGTTTTTGGGGTCGCAAATTACATATATGAAATTATTTTTTTTTTTAAATACAAAATGGCAGATTCAATATGGCGGACGATAAAATTAAAAATTGATTTTAATAAATTAATGGTTTTAAAGATGGTCGATATATTAACTACTGTGACTGAAAAGGTTAAAGGTTAAATAACTATTTTATTAGTTAAAAAATTTACCTTGCTGTTTTTTCTATTTTTGACCCTTACTTTTGGAAGCTTCTTATTGGATGTGTGTTTAGTTTCTTCTTGAATAAAATATTAATTGTTGCCAAGTTTCTTTATGATAATTTAATTAGTCCATTTCTTCTAAGTACAATGTATACATGTGTCGTTTAATGTACCTGTGTTGACATAACAAAAATAGAAAATAAATAACAAAAAAGAAAATCAATTCTAAGAAATCGTGTATTTTTAAATCTGGTAAATCAAATTCCTTTTTTTTTTTGAATAAAATATATATATATATATTCCGTGTTTGTGTGTTTGCCATAGAGAAATTCAATTTAAACTTAAAAGGAGACACGCGAGAGTATATGTATATACATATACACTAACATATAAGGTATATAAAAAGAGAAGAGCGAGGTAAAACTTGTGCGAATGAGGTTTCGATAAACCTTTTTCAAGAAAAGTTGTGCTTTTATCGAAAGTTTCAGTGCAACATGTGTTTTATGTTTATAAACATACAAGACACTATTACGTATATATATATGTATACTGTGTTTGTGTGGTACATAGAAAGAGTTCCACTTGGAGCAAGGTCCAGTTCAAAGACGAAAAAAGAAAAAAAAAAAAAAAAAGGGACGAAAGAGTTTGTGTGGGCAATGGCATCAGGGATGGGAATCGATAGGCGGAACAAACTGGATAGATGGTTGGAAGTCGACGGTAAGATTGAATTTGCGGAGTAGAATCCACTCCCGACGAACTCGAGTGAAGAGCAAGTAAAAGCGAGCAGACACCCACGAGAACTTTACAGTATATATATGTATATACATAGAGAAAGAGAGAGAGAGAGAGAGAGAAACCTTTCGTCTTTTAGGAGAGACGGCGCGTAGGCGATGAGAAGAGAAAATGGTTGGGGGTCACTGTTTGCTCATCCGATCAAGGCAGCAATTATTTGATCCGGCAAGAGAATGAAAGTGTACTATCTTCCTAAAACAAAAAAAAAAAAAAATCCTACCCCTCTCCCCTTCTCAGCATTCAACTCTTGAGACCATTGGATTTCTTTCTTATTTTCTCTCAATTAACGTGGGGGATGAAAAGCTCGTACGAGAAATTCTACAAACGCTTCGCCTCCACTCGACGGACAATTAAATTCTCCCGATTAACCCTGTAACGTGCTCTATTCTCTCGAAAGGGACGGCTATTTCCGAGAAAATTGCGTTTTAAAACATTTTTATACCATAGCCTAGGTACTCGTGAGAGCAGCGCACACATATTTTTTTTTATCGTTTTATAACAGATAGTCCATTCGTTGGGCTGTTAAAAAAATCGGAACGAAGAGAGGGGCGGTAGGGAAGCATAAAATATAAAGCATGCTGCTGCTGTTGATAAAATTGCATTACTGTAATATTTAATGTCTTTTTTTTTTAGAGAGAGTGAATGGGGGAAAAAATTGAAATTTTACTCATTTTTTTGATGCTTTTAATTTGAGCTTTTTGAAATTAAATTGATTAAAATTGTTTAATGTAATTATTTTTAATTTATTTAGTTTAGTAAACATTTTGCAGCTATGGACTTTGTTTGAAAATATAATCACTCTATATTATAAAAAAAATTTCGCCGCCAATGCTAATTCAGAAATTTTGACCAGGATTGTACTAACCATATCAAAAACATATGGGTTAAAATGAACATAACCTCAAAAATCAAAGTCATATGTCAAAAATGGAGGTTAAAAACAAATATAACCTTTAAAATGAAGGTCATATGTTAAAACATAGCTTAGAACGAACATAACCTCAAAATTTAAGGTCATAGGTCAAACATTAACTCAAAATTCAAGGACATAGGTCAAGGGACTTGTTGGGTTTTCAGTTGGCATCAGTGAATGTAAAATTTAAATTACACAGGCACACAAAACATAAAAAGTTGTTTGGCCGAAACACTACACTAGTCTATTTTTATGTATTTTTTCACGCTGAATCCGAATCCAAAGTCAGAATTATCAGATTGGCTCTTATTTTTGAGATAAACTCAAAAAAACTGCTCAGAAAGAAAAATAAAATCAAAAAGTTAAAAAATTTTTGAATGTCACTGCGATAGTATAATTCCATGTATTTTTTGTCGCTGAATCCGAATCCAAAGTCAGAATTGTTAGATTCGCTCAAATTTTTGAGATAATTGCAAAAAAACACAAGTAACAAAAAACTCAAAATACTCAAAAACCAGTTTTTTGAAATTATCTTAAAAATTTGAGCCAATCTGTCAATTCTGACTTCGAATTCGGATTCAGCGTCAAAAAATACATGAAAATGCACTATCGTAGTGTTTCGGCAAAAAAATTATCTGTGCCCCTAATTCAGAATTTTTATCAGTTTTTGGCGATTTTAGCTCAAAGAAATTTTTTTTTGCCGAAACATTACGATAGTGCATTTTCATGTATTTTTTCACGCTGAATCCGAATTCGATGTCAGAATTGACAGATTGGGTCAAATTTTTAAGATAATTTCAAAAAACTGGTTTTGAGTATTTTGAGTTTTTTGTTACTTGTGTTTTTTTGCAATTATCTCAAAAATTTGAGCGAATCTAACAATTCTGACTTTGGATTCGGATTCAGCGACAAAAAATACATGGAATTACACTATCGCAGTGACATTCAAAAATTTTTTAACTTTTTGATTTTATTTTTCTTTCTGAGCAGTTTTTTGAGTTTATCTCAAAAATAAGAGCCAATCTGATAATTCTGACTTCGGATTCGGATTCAGCGTGAAAAAATACATAAAAATAGACTAGTGTAGTGTCTCGGCCAAACAACTTTTTATTTTTTGTGTGCCTGTGTTATTATTTGACAAATAATTAATAATAATAATAATAATTTATTTTTAATTTACAGTTAAACTTTTTTCATTTCTCGATGTTTTTTTCTTGCAGTTTTTTGACATTATTCTGACGAGGGGAAAAAGGGGTGATATAGCCTTAAATAGAAATTAAATTAAAATTAATATCATTATTTATATAAAATTCAAAAAGACAAGTCGAAGATATTTCCTCTCTTTAAAAATTTAATAAAGAATACTGACAAAAGTAGAATTACAATATTTACATTAATAATTAAACTTTTGAGAAGCAATCTTCCGGATTTGATTTCACAATTATATATTATATCGATATCATTATTAATATTCAAAAAGGCAATATTTTTATTCAAAAAATTTCAATAAAATTTGTAATTTAAAAATGTAAATCATCTTCTTTTGATATATATATATATATACCTATTCTTGGAATCTTTAGTTTTGTATGAAACGATATTTTACATAAGGAAGAAAAGTGACGTTTCAATTTCCGCGTATATACACACACACTTGTCTTCAGATTTCCTTCGTGGAATATGAATAATGAAATTCAACACTTTCAAAGAAAATACATTTTGATAACCGATTGAAAATTGATGTATTTACAGTGACTAGTGTCCGTGATTGATTGATGCTTTTCTAGAAAATTGATTACATTTTTAACGCCTTCTGAGGATTATCATAATCATCTTCAACGTTTCAAAAACTTTCAATATATATATATATATATATATATATAATGTTAACAAAAATTTCAAAAAAAAACCATATTCTTTTTTTTCCTATTTGTATATTCCAGACTACTTTTATAATATCGCACTTGAGAATGTAATAAAAAGTAAATGAAAAATGTGAAAATTCCACAGGAAAACAAATTCGTCTCAACTTTTGTACCCGGAAGAGTATAAACGTTTTTTACACTCAGAGAAATTATATATTTGTCTCAGAGCCAAGTAAATATTTATTTGATTCAAATAAATTTTTATTTAATTTAAATAAATTTTTATTTGATTTAAATAAATATATCTATTTAATTTAAATAAAAACTTTTATTTACGTCAAATAAATGGGGGTTTTCGGGGTCGCTGATGAAGTCAAATTTTAAAAATTCAAAATGGCGGATCCAATATGTCGGACAAAAAAAAATTCAAAATAAATTTGATTAGTTTGAAACTTGTTACTAGAGGGTTTTTGGGATCTCTAATTACGAATATGAAGTCAGATTTTACAAATTATAAATAATAAGTTTCAAGCAAGTACGTTTGATTTTTAATATTTTCGTCCGCCATATTGGATACGACATTTTGAATTTTTTTAATCCAAGTGGTATAACTGAAGGCAAAAAATTACATCATTTGTGTTAAAAACAAAAAAACAAAGAGAAAAAAGGAAACTGAAACATGATTATTTGTTGGGAATTTTTTTTCTCAGAGATATGTGTACAACAGTGAAATGCATTTTCATTTTGAAGAAAAACAGTGGGAAATAGTAAAAGCTGACAAGGCAAGAAAGTCGTGTGTACTTGGACGGTACGACAAGTGCCCAAGGCACGTTTTTCAAAAAGAGATAAGTGTGCAAAGAGACAATGACAGTAAAAGTGCAAGAAGATTCAGAGAGAGAGAGAGAGAGAGAGAGAGAGAGAGAAAAGAGAGGGAGAAAAGAGAATGACTTTCTCGTTTCAGGAAGAACCGGTGTCTTTGCTTTTAGATCGTTTTAAAATGTCATGAAACTTGCGCGTATGCTTCATGTCACGAAGACATGAAAAACATTTGACTATTAAGATGAGACGTGTATGAAAAGGGGGTAGTAAAACATTTCTCATATTTTCCAACAATCGCTTTTTCTATCTCGTGTCATTTCTTTTCCTTCTATATATACATATATATGTAGGATGTTCAGTATACTCTCCTCTTTCCTTTTCTCGCGTGTATTCAGGAAATTGAAACGACCGACACGTCTTCCTAAGAACGTTCGGGCTTCAAGATGAATCGAACCTCGTATATTTCAAAGTGAGCGTCTTATTCCGACGATCGTTTCCGATTCGCGTGGCTATGAAACGAGAAGTGCATTTCACGTTTTTGCCTCAGGAAAACTGTTATTTGAAGAAAACTGGATTTCGTTACTTTTTCCCCGATTGAAAAATCTGAATTTTCATAAGATATATATATATATATATATATATATATATATATATATATATATATATATATATATATATATGTCAGAAGAGTAGAAAATGCAGAAAATTTATGTTTATTTTAAATTAAATTTACAGAAATTTAGATTTTTATTAATCACTATAGAATTTTGCATAACTGGCGAAA